TTTGCACCATTTCTCTCTCTCTCTTTCTCCCCGATGTCTCAAAATCCAGTGACTCCACCTGTCAATCACCCACAACACGTCTTCGCTGTGGTGAGCAAATGCACTTCCTGTCTCCTCAGTTCGCAGCTTAGCTGCGCTCTGAGCTCTCCTATACCTTTGTATTGCAGAGGAGCTACTGCACATGTACAACTTTAAACGAGAGTCTATGGGCAAAGATTTTTAAGAAATATTTCACTAGGTATTTTATTACATCTAAAGATTAAATATTTTTCTTGCACATCTAAAAAATATATATTAATATATTACGAAATATTTAAAATTTGAATTTAAAATTAAATTATAGAAAAAAAAACATTTTTTTTCTTATGTCACAATCAGGGTCATTGGGTGGGTGGAGCGATGCCCTAGCACCCTCTATTGGCCAGCCGCTACTGATTCAGTCTCTTGTGCCCTCTCTGATTGACTTCTAGAGACAGACTAGACAGGTGGAAGGGGGAGGGAGAAGAACCGTTCTTAAATTAGGTTGAATACAAGCACATATAAGCAGGATGGCCCATGGCCAAGATGGAAGATGAAAGATTTGGGTTGCATGAGGGAAGCCTTCAGTCAAAGGACCATGTGATGTCCATTTAAATGTGGACAGGCGAGAATGCTGAGCTTTTTACCAAACTGACTCTCTTGAAAAATTTTACGTTTTTTGGCTCTGTCCATTGTTCCTTCCCCTTTGCTTAAAATTTGCAGTCTTCATTGTCCCTAACCACACACCTTTGATATTGTGCTGTTGGAGCTTCTACTGAATTAGTAGGAAATTGTGAGTACAGCTTGATTGGATGTGGTTCTACTCTAATACACATTGACTAGCAAAGTTTAATAAAATAGCTTCCTTATCTCATAATATAAAGTAGAAAGTTAATGATTGTATGCAACTTAAGGCCCAGTCCCAATTCACCTCATACCTACAACCACTAACCTTCACCCACATCAACACTACCTCAAATTGAATCTATTATGGTTAGGGCTTCATAATCTTCCATAAGATGGGACAAAAGAATAGGCAGTGGTGTCAAAAGTACACACATTTGTTACTTAAGTAGAAGTACAGTATAGATACTGCAGTTTAAAAAACCTCTGGTAAAAGTTGAAGTATCAACTTGTCCTCTTTACTCAAGTAAAAGTGAAAAAGTGTGTGCTCCAAAAACTTCTTAAAGTATAAAGTAATCTTAAAAAAAAAAAAGCCAGATACCACTATATGAATTGAAAGCTCAATTTTTTTGACTATTTCGAAAATGAGATAGGGCCAAGGATGAGGGAGGTCTTGTTGGTCACCATCTCCCGACCAAACTATTGGTACTTCAACAGACCAGGAAGCAGATTTCTCATCTCCATCAGAAACCCGACATCTGCTGGATGCTGATTTTTTTTTAATACGTCATATTAAATTAAGCGTTCATTTCTGCATGTTCTGCTCCAATGAATTTAATGATAATATCGCGCATACTCTCTTAAACCTCAGAGGATAAGTCAGAGCGCAGCAGTACAGGAGGACCAGCGGAGGCTGTAGGCTTTGCTTTGCGCAGGAGGTCTGGAGCGCTGCGGGGCGGAGCGGTGTGGGCCAGAGGTTGGGTCCGGATTAGCCAGCAGGTGGGTCCGGATCTTAACCGCGGTTTGCTAATCCGTGACCGCTGCATTAAACTGAAGCCAAAACTAACGAGAAACGTTTGTTTTAAAAAAGTAAGAAAGATACTTGTGTGAAAATGTTATGAGTAGAAGTCAGAAGTAGGAAGAAAAATAAGTAATGGAGTAAAGTATAGATAACTAAAAAGTGCACTTAAGTACAGTACCAGTATTTGTACTTCGTTACTTGACACCTCTGGGAATAGGAATGCCATGTTGATGCTCAGGTATGTTTTTTTGCCTTTGCACGCACATCGAACGATAAGACAAGGCTTTTTAAAATCAAAATGTAAGATAGAGAATATAATGTTGACAAGGGAGGAAATAGAAAATGTTCTTAAAAGGTTTGAGCGCAGGTTTTAAAAAACTGTTTAAATGCAGCCGTAGAAGGACTGTTTCCTTCCTTTAAGTGCTGTGTCCACCCGGTGGCCTTATCCTACCAACAGCCATACCGCTTTGATCCTCTGCATCTAGCCTCGATAGCTAGCCTAGGCCAGCCTTAGCCTCTCCTAGCTCTGCTCTTTTTTCTCCGACGAGTTTCCCTGCTCTCCTCCTGAACCAGCACTGGCAACCCCCCAAACCCTCCCAGCTCTGGTGTGCTGTTTTCTTGGCAGGTTCCTCTGACCTCAAGCATTGGTTACTTAGCTACAGGGCTGAGGGGGTCCCGGCTGGCCACTTCAGCTCTGTTCTGGTTCTCTCACTGCTGTGTTCTCGCTGCATCCTGCTGCTCCTGTCTAAAATCCAGAGCGCCACCTTGCCTTTGCTCTGTTGTTCGGGAGAATCTGATGAATCCATGGACGCCAAAGGCAAATGTTTTATTTGGCTTTCAAAACTAATAAAAAAGAAACTGCAAGTTGCTCTGTAGGATCCCTGTACTTCATGTTTTCATGAAGAAAAAAAAGGAAGTGGTTTTGCAAATTTTAATCATTAACAACAGCTCTGTCAAGGGGAATGGTCTGAAATTATAGCAAACTACTCTTAGAAATAGTTGAATTGTTAAAGGCAATTCTACCTGACACTCAAGAATTCTTTAAACTTCTGGCTTTGAAGAAAGAAATACAATAAAATCTCTAAAACAAATTGTTGTAATTTAACTAACCAAAATAGGGAAACCATTTAATTTACAACATAACTATAATTTTGTGTATAAACTTCTGATTTCAACTTTTGTCATAGTGTAGCATCAATTTGTCCCAAAAAAAAGCAAAAACTTGAATATCTTGAGAAGGTTTTTACAGTTTTGATATGGGAGGCTATGCTGCCTTTACTAATCTTATTTTACATCATCTTTTTTGAAGCAGAATTCCAACTAATAACTTACAATATCTGTATTTAACTAAATGTAGTAGATAGTTGGCCTTGCATTTATTTAACAGTCCTTTTTACTTAACATCGAAGCTGACAGCTGTGTTCTACAACAACTGGAAAAGAAAATCCTAGGTAAATACATTTTTTTTCTGTTTGGAAATATATTCATGGAACCTGGTGCCGAGTAGTATACTGACATGTTTGTTTTAAATTTACATACAAACACAAAGACTTCATGAAGCCGTTACCCTCTCACACCTTGATTTTGCCAGAAAGTACTGTGATGGCTGCTTTTGCCCCAAGGCTATTGTTGGATCCTTTATGCATAGCCCAAATAACACTCTCTTCACAAGGCATACTTTTGCAGACAAGAACAGATTTGTACACTGAGATGAAAACCATTCAGTATACACTGAGGCAGAAACACAAACAATGTCTGCTTTTCTTGGCTGAGTGGTTCCATCGTCCTATTCTGGAGATAGAGACGTTCAATAAACAATTTTTGGTTTTGTATCATTGCTCTATTCAAAACAAACTGATGAAATTAGCTTAAAAAGAGCGTAAAAACACAAAAATCAGAATAGTTTTTTTAGATATGAAGAAAAAACAACTTTACTTTCATTATCTTACAAAAAATGTTATATAGAGAGACACTTTACTTCAATTCAGCTATAAATCTTTTTTCCAGTTCACATATTGTGAGTTCAGAATGATTGTATGGATTTCATGCTACATTAGTAAATGTATTTTTGTTTTGCACAGCTTGAAACATGCACAGCACAAAACTCGAAGTGTTAAATTTGTCAGTGTAAATCAAAACTCATCTTTATGTCTACAGGTTTTTTATAACATAAAAATAGGACTCAAATTAAACTGAAAATCTTATAGCCATAAAACATTGACCACATTCAGTAATTATGAAAACTGTATATGCACACCACATGAGCCCTAGGCACTGGACTGTTGTGTGAGTCTCTTCTATCCGGATTACCTAAAACAATGCCAATAATTTTGTCTTAATGAATTCCCTCTTCCCTTCAGTTTAAAGGTCCTATATAGATGATAATGGTGGTTGGGATGCAGAAAGAATTGAAATTGTTAAGAACCTTACTGAAAGAACTGGGCTTAGAAAATTTGTCTGCAATTGTACCAAACCAAAAGGCAACTAATAAACTGAAAACTGCTGCTTTAGGATTAAATGATTGTTAAAAGATTAAAAAGTGTATTTATTTGTTTCTCAATAAATTACACCTCAGGTTTGTTGTATCATTTGCTGTCTCTGTGCTTTCACTGTATTTTTAGGGTTGTAATGTGTATTCGGCATTGCTGCTCTATCTGATTCAACCTTATAGATTCATAATGCTCAAAATTATACAATATAATGTCAAGAGTAAATAAGAAATGTAAGGACGTACAAATGTCTCATATTTACTTTATTAAGATTATTTTAAAAACAAAGAATTTTGGTAAAGAAAGACAAACATTTACTAATTATTACCAAGGTTTATTCTCATCAAATTAATCATATTGAAAAGGTAAAAGGCTGCCCACTTGAGCACAAAAATAACACTGCAGGGTTAAACACAAGTGGATGAACTGACAGGCTGTTTAATTTCACCGTTGTGACAAATACAAAGGTTGCTTTAACCCGGGCAGCTTCCATGTTCCATGTCATATCAAAACATGTACGTCAGTAATAAAAATAAAGGCTGGACAGCCCACTGATAACAGCATGCTGAATAGTATTCCAGGATGCACTCAATAGTGAGACATCCTGTCATCAAATTCAGACGTGACATCGCCACCACACAGTCTAGAGAATATACAATGAGCAAAGTATAATGTCAGTTTATACATATTTGGTATGTTTTTGGCTCACAGAGGAATTTAGAGGGAAAAGGTCAAACAGGGTGAGCCTGACTGCATTTGATGTGACATGCATCATCTCAAATAAGTGGAAAAAGTCAAATTCATACATTTAAAAAATAAAATACCTACAGTATTGTGCCTTGTTTTTCGGAACTTGCTCCAAATAACAAATCAGACTAAAGATGATTTTAAGAAAGGCTATAATACCATACCTACATACACAAAAAATACATATAAACATAACAGACAAGTTATTCTCTAACCATATTGCACAAATTCTCAAGTGGCAATTTGTACTGACCCTCTTTGTTCTGTCTTAACATAAGAAGACAATTAGAAATAAGAAAGTAAATGCACTTACATATAAAAGAGGAAAATATGCTACACATATCCCAAAACCTGTAGGTTTGGAACATGTCAGAATATAGCTAAACAAGAACAAATAAAACAGGGTATTTTCATATAGCCAATAATATGGATTTTATTTCAACCAAAAAAAAAAAAAAAAACCTAAACTAAGTTCAGAAGCAATTGAAAAGACACAATGATGCTTCTGTCTGAATGGTCTATTCAAAACTGACTTACACTAGTAATGAAAAGATACATTCAGTCGTTAACTTGAAACACATTTATGCATCTATTCTTCAGTTTTGGAAAAGCAATTTCATTGTACTTTTAACTTAATATTCAAAGTTTTCATACCAGAATATCAACCATCTGCTTTTCTGTATACCTGTACAATAACCTTTATTCTAATCAAAAGGAGATACTTTGAAACTATATGCCTATAGAAAAGGGGACTGCATTGTAAAAGGGACAAATACCTTTTCATTAGGCAAATAAGTCTAAAGAAATGGAAGGTTACCTTATAACAGACATCAAGGTTGTCACAGTTTTCCGAACAAATTTTGAATGGAGCGATGATGCATAAAGGTGTAGTAGAGTTCAAAGAAAGCATTTTAAACTCAAATGACTGCAAAACAGAAAGGATAAGCATGGGCTGGCTATATTCTGAATAAAAGCTAAATGAATATAAAGAAAAGGGGATATTTAAAAAAAAAAAAGTCATATCTTAGTATTTAAATCTGTACAGAAAAATACAATCACCAAATCTTATTATATATTTAATTGAATATATAAAGGTCTGTTCCACAGACATAAAACATGTACAGCAAATTTGTAGGTGATGTAAAGACCTGGTTTTCTCTGTCATAGTTGCAAAGGAAATTGAACTAAAATTTAACGCAGATGCTATTTGGAAGGCAAAATCCTCATGACAAATAAAGGTGAATGGGTGCTAGTTATTAACAAGCAAATGTGTGATTGCTGGAAATTGATTTGCAGTAATTTGGTGAAGGATTATTAATGTATTACTTAGCTCTGGTTATAGAGCTACATCTTAATAAAAGGGTTCTCTGCAATTAACTTGAAGCATTCGCCGATCATGTAAATACAAAAAAAAATCCATTTTAGTCTCCAATAAATTTCTTCTTTTATAATTACTTGGATAGTTTTGTTAGATTACTAGTAGATGAAGCACATCAAGTCTAATATGAAATGAAGGCTTAGGGAAAACAATATGATGACACTTATTTATCCACTGGATAACAAGATAATGACACCATGTTTATTTTGTGAGCTACAAATGACCCACAGGGCCACTTAAGGGTTAATATTAGGTAGCAAGAAATTAAAGTAAATCAAAAAAGAATAAAGAAAAACAATAACTTCACTACAGAAATCTAGTTTTAAGTCTTACCTTAGCTCCAGACTTCTACTAACTTAGAGGTAGCTATCAAACCATGATCCTAGGACTCCTAATTGATCAAAAATTATAAAAGGAAGTATTCCATTTTTTATTCTGAAATGCCAAGGCAAACAAATTCAATCTCAGTGATGTTGTGGACAAATTTCTCTGAATCAACTTTGCACAAAATCCAAAAAAACGTTTTTTTTTTTTATTTTTCAAAAGACATCTATTCATGTGTTTTTCAAAGCCTGTCTTTGGACCAGTTTGACTCTTGGATAACTATTATTGTGCTCCCATCACACAAGCACAATTCATTGGAAAGAATGCAGCGAATTTCCTGTTAGCTCTTGTGGGGATATGGTTTGTTTTTCCTGTTGCTTGGAGCCAATTCTTGTTTTTTTTTTTTTTTTTGGTTTGGCCTCTGTAACATCCTGTCTGAGGAATTTAAACGTACAGAGACTGCAAAGGAAAACATTACAAGCCTTAAACTTTGATAACTCACCCTTTATTCTTTTCCATATCTAACTACAAACTCCCAGATCAATTTTAGACATAGTATGTCAAAAACCACCTGCTGTGTTTGTTGAAACCACAACTTTAACAGGACAGGGTATAAGGGAATTATTTTTTAAGTACTGGCACAAAAAACAAACCCCATCAAGATAATATAGCAGTACTGGTGTCCCTGCCAGGTAAACCCGCAATGTTTTCATGCCATGCTGCTGGTCGGTGTGCTCTGGGTGCTTCCGATGCTTGCATTTGCGCTGCTATTCTCAGAGGGAGATGGGTTAGATGAAACAGGCTGTCGTTTTGCACTTGAACAGGGACATCCTGGGAAAAAAAAAGGTACAGGCTGATAAGATCCTTGCCACGGGCAAAGCTAAAATAAAATGATAAAGAGCTGTTAACATTTCTCACCAGGAAAATTGACAGCTGTTGATCTCATACCCAGTCCAGCTGGGTATCCTGAATAAAACACAAATAGACCATTTTAACACTATACTAATCAGTTTGGTCATTTCATAGTAGAAACACTGTATCCATTAAAGGAAAGAATGACTGTTAACATCAGTGAAATGTAAGCATAAAAAAGCAACTTTAACACTAAAAAAAGATCAGTTATGAGTAATATTTTAACCTTCTGAGGAAGGTGCACTGATAATGTTTTCAGTCAATAAACTGAATGATGTTCCACTTGATTTATTCTGGTCTTTGGGACAATAAGTAATTTCAGTTGATGACTGATTGTCTAAGTGGTTCATATAAGGGTATTTAAGTGTATTAATTCTATTTTGGCACAATAGTATTATGGAACCTACTTTTTAAAATCTTTTTCCAAAGACCGTTTGTGTTTTTGAAAGGACAGTTGAGATATGATACATTTTCCTTGTGTTCCATCATCTGTACTAAGTTAGAGAAGAATCTTGTTAAGCTATTTGATATTATTAAAAACTAACTTAGAGACAGTAAGGGATTGTAGTGATGTGGCAACAAAGTAATGTAGAGACGTGTCTCATCAGCATACACATGGTGGGAAATGTTGCAAAGCATATTTTTTCAAGCTAGGTAGAGAGATAATGGAATGAATAAAATGGACCTAAGAATTAGGCAGATGAATCCCTACATGTAATCTGGTTTTGCTCAGTTGATAATTTGGAAATCTCTTAAAACAGAACATGCATTTACCTGTTTTAATCTTGATAAACCACAGGGCTCCAATAAGTAACACTCCAATCAGGAACCCTCCAAAAGCGATGCCAAGAACACCGGACAGGCCAAAATCAAAGCATGGCTGGTCTGAAATGTTAATAAAACAAAACAAAAAATAAAGCAAGGAAAGCTTTGGTTAAAGGTTTGTAAAGGAAATTATCTTCACTGTCATTATAAGATCAAATATAATCCAATTTTTACACATACATTTTTCATAAAATGTGCTGGTAAAGTTGTATCTGATGTGATTCCCTCAAAATAAAGTTAGAAGAGTATTACAGTTGGCTTTTCATAAAGTTATAAAACTGCACCCAAAAACGGATTGGTCAATACAACCAAAAATGTTGAATTTTACTAATCTGGTTGGTAATCTTTTGGTTTAAGCAACCAATCTCTTCTGGTAGTGTTTTAACCAACCTATATTGGAATAAGGGCAAGCCAATACAAATTGGTACTTTGACCAAAATATTGGTTAATTAGTTTAACAACATTGAACATCAGAACCAGGGCTTGAACCTTTAACCCTACAGTTTCAGGGCAACGTGCAACCTGCATCCAACACTATTGTTACTGCTAGTCTGGAGTTTAAAACTAGTTAATGCTGATGTTATGACAGAGGTTAAAGCAAAGATGTCCATGCTACATTTACATATCAATGTAATCGTTCTATAGGTCAATCACTATTGCATACTATTACACACTATCAGTTACCATTTTCAGTGGCTGTCGGTTAACCAATTAAATTGGTCGATCCAAAAGCAATGGTTTTGTCAGTATCTGACCAATATATTGGGCATTTTAAAAAAATTTGTTTAATTAACTAAATTGGTTGTTTTTTCCAACTAATCCATTCTTAGAGTGTGAATTCACAGTGTATCCTATGTTTACATGTATGCATAAAAAGCTTACTTAGGTCTAAATATAAATAAAAAATAAGGGCTTAAGTAAAACATCACATCTTGTCTAAAGTTTGCCTGTGTTTTGCTTCCGATACCCTCTGTATTTTCTGAATTTTGCATATACACTGAGATCCATGGTGGGAAATTCAAAGTGTCCTGCTGTGTTATGATCAGGCACATTACTGTAGCATATCCCTTTA